CCCCCTGCTTTGTTTTTTTTGCTGAGAACTGTTCTGGCTATTCTTGGACGTTTGTGTTTCCATATGAATTCCTGTGTTGTTTTCTCTAGGTCTGAGAAGAATGTTGCTGGTATTTTGATGGGTATTGCATTGAATTTGTAGATTGCCTTAGGTAAGATGGACATCTTCACAATGTTGATTCTTCCAATCCATGAGCATGGAATATTTTCCCACTGATTTGTGTCATCTTTGATTTCTTTGAGCAGTGTTTTGTAGTTTTCATTGTAAAGGTCTTTCACATCTCTGGTTAGGAGGATGCCAAGGTATTTCATTTTTTTTGTGGCTGTTGTGAATGGAATTGTGTTTTTTATTTGGGTTTCTGTTTGTTTATTTTTGGTGTAAAGAAATCCCATTGTCTTTTGCACATTTATTTTGTATCCTGAGACTTTGCCAAAGGCCTTTATCAGTGTAAGGAGGTTTTTGACAGATTCTCTTGGGTTTTCAAGGTACACAATCATATCATCTGCAAAGAGAGATAATTTGACTTCCTCTTTTTCTATTTGGATACCCCTGATTTCCTTCTCTTCTCTGATTACTTGAACCAGGACTTCCAATACTATGTTGAACAGGAGGGGTGAGAGTGGGCATCCTTGTCTTGTTCCAGTTTTCAGGGGAAATGGTTCCAATTTTTGTCTGTTTAGGAGTATGCTGGCTGTGGGTTTCTCGTAGATGGCTTTTACTGTTTTGAGGTATGTTCCCCGTATGCCTAGATGTTCAAGGGTTTTTATCAAGAAGGGGTGCTGGATTTTATCAAAAGCTTTTTCTGCATCTAATGATGTAATCATTAGATGGGGATGAGAAGGAGGAAAGTACTGGTCTATTCCCTCTAAGAAGGTCCAAGTCTTTTCCTGAGTCTCCTCATGGTTGACTTCATCTCATGGTTTCTCAGAGTGTAGATCAAGGGGTTCAGCAGAGGGGAGATGATAGTGAAGGTGACAGAGATGGCCTTATCAGTGGGGAGAGCAGTGAAGGACTGCACATAGACATAGATGCAGGGTACAAAATGCAGAGTCACCACAGTGATATGGGTGGTACAGGTGGAGATGACTTTCCTTCTGCCCTCCCCTGCCTGAGATCTTAGTAATGATAATATGACCATATAGGACACCAGGAGCAAAAAAAGTCACAGTGTGGTGAGCAGCCCACTGTTGAAAATCATAAGCAGCTCAAGTATGAAAATATCTGTACAGGCGAGCTTGAGGACTTGAGGGACATCACAGTAGAAACTGTCAAGAACATTGAGTCCACAGAAGGGAAGGGGGGCAACAGGGCAATTTTCATGATGGAGTGGGTAAAGCCCCCCAGCCAGGCAGCCACTGTTAACCCAATGCAACGGTCTTTACTCATGATGGTCACATAGTGCAGGGGTTTGGAGATGGTCACATATCAGCCATCACTGACAGCGAAAATGCATCTACTCTTCCAATAAGGTGGAAGAAAAACATCTGAGCGAGGCAGCCATTGAATGAAATGGTCTTTCTCTCAGACCAGAACCTTAGGAGCTGTGATGGAGGAGAAGCAGATATCAGCAATTGATAAATTACGGAGCAGAAAATTCATGGGGGTATGAAGGCGAGACTCACAGGTCACAGTGACCATGATGAGGAGGCTTCCCAGCAGAGTTGTCACATATACCAAGAGTAGGAAGAGGAACAAGACCAAGCTCACTCCTTGTTCTGGGTCAGGCCAAGGAAAATAAATTCTCTTACCCTGGTGCAGTTTTTCATTTCCATTGAATCATCCTCTTCCCCTCCCCCTCTTTTGTTTCAAGCTATGTTATATGAAAGCATTGACATATCTATTTTGTTGTCTTCCTAAGCACCTGGAATACAATTCAGAAGCTTCCCAGGTTTGTAATTTGCTAAGTTGTTTATATTTTTAAGGTAGGAAGCAGTTGGGAGATGAAATTATCACAAGCAAAGTCATTTGATAATCATTTTCCTATAAACTATTTTAGGAAAAAAAATATGTCAAAGGAGTGACATTTACATAGCATATTTATTTTATTTTACTTTATTTTATTTTTGAGTTGGAGTCTCACTCTGTCACCCAGACTGGAATGCAGTGGCCAGCCCTGGTCACTGCAGCCTCGACTGCTGGGCTCTGGTGATCCTTCCGCCTCAGCCTTCCAAGTAGCTGGAAC